ACAGCTTTAGTGGATGTATTTGCCATTGCCTGACAATCAGAAGATATTTTCATTTCCAGCCTAAATTGATTCATGGTTCATCTTTTTCAGCCCCAGTCATTTCAGCCTCCATTGAGAAATGAAAAAGAGCCTTCTTTCCTGTATTCGTCTTCTGTTTCTCACTCTCACGGATACGTGGACCAAGAAGCTGGAGAGAGTCAGTCAAAGGAGGGGCAATGACATGTCAAAAAACTACCCGTATTGTTCTGGTTTCCATTTTTAAACCAGTCATCCTGGCCCTTTTCACAGTTCATCCTGCTCTTACAAGTTTAGTGCTCCCAAATGACCTGTCCTCATTTTGCATGTGATTGTGGGAAGAGAACAGGGCACGGAATGTCCTTGAACTTACTGTACACTGAAAGGTCAATTGTGTCATGTTACGTTCATAGATTACTTTTATTGTTAGGTTTTTCTATAAGGTCAGGGTAACTGTCTTCATAGCATCTGATTTTTATAGAGCTATAACATGATTTAGAAGATTAAAGGAATGTTTTTGATTTGATGGCTTAAAGTGATAGTTTACCTAAAATGAAAATTCTGTCATTTACTCGCCCTCAAGTTTTTCCAAACCTGTATGAATGTCTTTCTTCTGCTGAACATAAAAGAAGATATTTTGAAGAATGTTGGTAGCAAAACAGTTGATGGTCCAAAACTACTAACCAGGCCAGTAACTGTTTGTTTGGAACAACTTGAGGGTGAGTAAATGATGATTTTTGGGTGAACTATCCCTTTAAAAGCTGCAGTATGTGTTCAAACAAAGCATATTTTAACTTATACAACTTTGTATGTCGTCTTGTTTTTGAACAAAAAACCTTTGAACAATTCACATTTATTATGTAGTCTTGAGTGTTTTGTGCACTCAAATATGGAACTGAATGCCGCAAAGATTGTTTACAGTTTAAATATAGCAAGATATGTTTCATAAGATATACTGTAATTGCATTCTGTAACAATGTACTTGGATTTTGTTTGGGTCTTTTTTATTCTATTTTTGGATACGTTTAATTTTGTGATGCCATTTTTATGAGTTCTTCATTGTCTTATTTGTGATATTGTATTCATTTGGCCTATTTTTTATTAATATTAGACTTTTAATATACATTTTGAAACCATAATGTCTTATGTAACCATTTAAAGGATTGTAATGTTTTGGCAACCTCAGCAAAACAGAATCAGCAGACAGAGAGGAGATAAATGGATTGCGTGTCCAAGTTGGCCTCTCGGATTTCAGGGGCAACAGATCCTTCAGCATGTTCTCTCTTCCCTGACCCCCACCCCTCCAAAACTAAAGCTATCCCAATGGACTCTCTGGACTTGTAGACCCCACTAAGTTTTCTTTCCTGTGTTAATGTATTATCCATTTAAACAGGAAGTTCGGGCAGGACAAGTGGCAATAGGTTTTAGTTATGTGACAGCCATGGTAGAAACTGAGCTTTTCAATTGCTTCACAAAATGGTTCATTATTTTAAAACGCTCCAAACGCACACGCAGGCGACACACCTGATGGTCAGAATGCTGTAAATGCAATTCAAACTCTTTTGCAAATGTTCTTCTTAAAAAAATGTAATTCTATACTAACTCAATTAAATTTGAAGTGTCTGTATATAATGTGTTCTTTCATAAATTTGTAGGGCTGTGTATGTGTGTGTGTGTGTGTATATATATATATATACACACATACAGGGATGCACAATTTTTTCAGTCTGTTTCTCATGAGAGCACCTGGAGATTGGGTTTGGTTCTCACTGCACATATAGTGTGACATATTAAATGTAACTATAAAAACAATGATTCAAAGTAATAATATTCTTATTGCACTTTTAGTTTTTTAAAAATCAAATAAAGTGTGATAATAATATTATACTATACTATATATATTATATACTATATATATTATATATATACACACACCGTATGTATATATATACATACACATAGTATATATATATATATATATATACATATACACATAGTATATATATATATACATATACATATATACAGGTGCATCTCAATAATCTCAATAAACGTGGAAAAGTTCATTTATTT